TATGCATCCCTTTTTTCCTCACTACTGTTGCTGCTACCCATACTTCAGAAAGAGAAAATGAAAAAAAGTAATATCAAGGCAAACAAAGATATACCTTATCACACTTTGTTTGAATAGAAAATGCTGTTTCATCAAACATGATGACGACAACTGTTAGGATTATGAAAAAAACCTTATGACACAGCCTCATCGAAAGTCGGCTGCATTTTTGATAATATAATAATGCGATTCAGCTATCAATAGATTCAATTGATAGTTCGACTAGCAGGTTAAGGATGAGTGTCATAATGCCAACATCCAGGTTTCATGTATCCCATAAAGTACAATCATCAGTTGATATGAACTTTGTCATATTAGTTCAAGATAATTCTATTTTAGTAGAATCATAAACAGAATATATCTATCTATACAAAATATTACTAAAGAAAGGGGTGTGAGTTGTATTGGGCTTGTCGTGCGGGAGATTTAGACACGGTAAAGAAAATCTTTCATTCCACTCCATTCGTCGATATTAATCGTCTTGAACCTAACGGAAGTACCGCACTTCATGCAGCAAGCTTCTTTGGACATGTAGATGTACTGCGTTTTTTACTTCATGAAAAAAATATCGTGCAGCATAAACGAAATCGATATGGCATGACCGCGTATGAAGAAGCACCACGTGATCAGATTCGGGTATTGTTTCATCGACCGGCAGATAATCAACGATTTTGTACTTCAGAAGATACGAAAAACTCATTGATCATGCCGCTTGACGAAATTTCTGAAGATATCGACGAACCTCATCCTAATGAAGAAACAGAGACGATTCCAGATGATTGGGTTGTTGGATCAAAAAGTGATGGTGATATGCGTTTGGAAATATTTCTCAAGTATATGCTGGCAGTCGGAATGACATCTAATGCCAATCGAAGATTTATCAAACTTATCTGTCGTTTGATAACAAAAACTGACATGTACTTCGTATTTTCCTCACTATTACAATCATTTATTGACACAAAGATTACTAAGAATGATCCTCATTATGACATAGCATCACTCTATGTTGAAAAATATCGCACTACAAAACGTATAGAAAATTTATTGACCCTATATACACTTGAATGTCCTTTCTACAAAAGTCTTGGATATGGAGATGAAACCGCCCTTTTGTATATGCCTATTATATGGCAACTGCACAAACTACAACATCGCGCTTTTACTGGACGTTCTTATCGTGGTTTGACCATGACTCAAAAAGACTTTCGTGCTTATCAATGGGCTGAAGAGAATCACGAACGAAGCATAACAATACAAAGTTTCTGTTCGACATCTGTAGTCGAGAAAGTAGCACTTAAATTTGCAGGCGTAGGAAATGGACAGACGAGTATTTCCGATCGAGTACACATTTTAATGGCAATGGACTTTCGAACCGCATGCCCGACAGCCATTCGTTTGTATAAAATATCGAAAAATACGGAATGCTTGTCAGCATACGAGGAAGAACTAGAAGTTCTTGTCTTGCCCGGAACGATATTTCGTGTCACTAGTATTGAAATGATGAACTCAGTGTATGTCATTTATCTGGAGAATATTCTAGCGAAATGGGACCCTGATTTAATTTTGAAAACTATGACTAGACAAAACATGGTGAATGAGTTAAACGAAATGTTTCAAAAGGTATTATCCCAAACAGAGTCCAATTGATAATAAAACTCATTTTGGACATCTCAAAATAAAATTATCGTTCTTGAGTCAACTCTTATAGATTGTTACCGAGTGTTTGCGTTTGATAGCTTGGGTATGAATGTGGTTGTGGATACATGCATGGGTATGAAAGGTGAGCATAGATGACGAGGAAATCGACATTAATGCCCACAACTCTACATTCAATCCCATAGGGTGTAAGCGTGAGATGATGTGGGTGTGGAGGATAGAGGTGTCAGTTTTGGGTTCCTTATTGAAATCCAGAAATTCGTACAGGATTAATGCAGCCTGATAGAATAAGTGCTTTCGTAAGTCTTCATCTAATCCGAAACGAATCTTACTGTAGGTTTCGGTCCTTGCAAGTGGAACCCTAGAGAACAAAGAATTCTAGTACGCCTATTGGAATGGGTGGAAATGGTTTCGAGTAGGTGTGGGTGCTGGAATGGATGTGAATTTTCTTAGGTTTGACCTAAATCCACCAACTCCTCTACACCCCACATTCACATCCCCGGCTATTCTTATAATCCAGCAATTGTCAACTAGATATACACTCAGCCTGACTGAGTGTTAAACCTGTAACGTCTTGACCGTCTTGCAAATTGTCTCTTCACCGTTACAGCCAAAAATTGAAAAGTCCGATCAAAAACCAAAAATTCATAGATCCAAACTTGCGCGTCAAAAAATGAAAACTGTAAAACCTGGAATGAGTTGTCCCCTTGTAAACTTAAGAACCAACTACAAAAAGAACAATCCAAAAATAATGTTCCGCGTGATTCATCATAATTTTTATTTTAATTTCGACAAGAAAACGGCAGATTCTGAGATTTATTATACAATAAATTGGTCAGTTGAATCGCATGCTTTTTGGAACGATTGGTTAAGTTTCTAATGAACAAAGTAAAAGTTTTTCTTGTTGAAATAGTAGGGTACGGTTACGCATGCTTTATTAATATTTGTAAAGCAGCTCGAAGCCTTCGATAATTCCACCCAGAATCTAAAAATAGAGCAATCTACGTTTCTGAAATAGATGGAAAAAAATTGTAGTGAGGCTGTGGGTGTGGGTATGGGTGTGGTTAGTGGGTGTGCGTGCGGGTGTGGGTGTGGGTGTAGGTGTCGGTGGGGGGGTGGGCCGGGGC